ACACACACACACACACACACACATCAACCCTCTTCACCTGTACATCCACCAACGCCGGCAGCCAGTCGTTGCTCTGTGTCCCGTGTCGAGTCCACACCAGTGACCTCACCTGTCCGCTTGTCTGCGTGTACATGTTCAGGGTGTTGATGTCCACCCCAAACATGTGGTACCAGAACCTCAGGCACTGGACACCAGAGCTGGAGCACAAGGCACAAATCATCATTATAAAAGTGACGGACTTATTTTATTTTCAAGGTTTTCAATAAATCATCATCATCATCATCATCATTGTTGTACAGTAAGAAAATATATAATGGAAACTTGAATATATTTCTGGCATATTAGGTGTATTTGGAACAATCATCATCATCATCATCATCATCATCATCATCATCATCATCATCATCATCATCATCACCTTCATCATCATCATCACCATCATCGTCTTCATCACCTTTCTCACGCTGGACTAGGCATATGCCACTGATAATTACTTTCAACTTTTCCTTTTCTTGAGCTAGCTTCTTGACATTATTTCATTGTCTTTCCATGTGCTAAATGTTATATTTAAAATGCCTGTTGCTTGTTTTATATTCTAAATATAGCAGGGTTTTGTTTCATGCTCTAAAAATTCAGTTATTGAAACATTTTCACTTAAGTTTGACTATTTTACTTAAAGAATTTTTAAAATTCTTAAAATGACTAACAATGACTTAGGAAATTGTGTTATGACTGTGATGTATTCGTTTCTTAAAAGGATTGCTTGCATGTATACAAACTGATAATCATAAAAGCAATACTTTTCTTTGATTTTTTTTTCAATTACAAGCAAGCACATAAATAAAAATATATATAAATGAAAAAAAACTTACTTGGTTATCTGAGGACTTTGAACAACAGCTGTGTCGTTGACACGTCTTGGGCTGGAAGCTTCGATGAAGATGTAATGTCCATTTCCTGCACCACATAGAGGGAAAGTAATAGAACAAGGTTCAGAATGCAATATCTATGAGGCTAGATCTCTATTCATGTTGATTCAAATACAGCTTCCTTATACTTGAATAGACATTAACAACTTGAACATCTTGCTCAGATCAGACAAATAGAAGGCAAAAGCAGCAGAGGTAAAGAAAGAACAACTTTTCTAGAGGACTTGAACAGACATGTGAAGGGAAAATACATTTTTGAGAGCATTAATTTTGTGTAGAGATGAGAGGCAAACTATGATCACCAAAATCTGTTTCAGATTTGGCCCTTGAAGAAGAAGAAGAAGAAGAAGAAGAAGAAGAAGAAGAAGAAGAAGAAGAAGAAGAAGAAGAAGAAGAAGAAGAAGAAGAAGAAGAAGAAGAAGAAGAAGAAGAAGAAGAAGAAGAAGAAGAAGAAGAAGAAGAAGAAGAAAAAGAAAGCCCTCAATACTCAGATAGGACATTCTCAAGGCAGAGCACATGGTAGAAGGAAAAAAATGTTGTTTTTTTTAAAAGGGGGGAGAAACAAAAGTGTTTCACTTTACTCAAACAATCAGCTGTTGTTTTTATTGGGGGGGGGGGTTGTTTGGTTTGGTTAAGTTTTGTTTTGGGCTTGTTTTTTGTTGTCTTTTTTTTTGGGGGGGGGGCAGGGGGTGTATACTTTTGTTTTAGGTTTCAGGGTTGTAGGGTTTCTCTTTGTTTTTTAGGATATCGTTTTCATACAGGTTTCCTTTCAAAATGAAATGTTTTAAGACCTCAAATATGACCAACCTGTCTTGAGAGTGTGATCCACAGTAGGCCCCGTTAAGGAACTGCCCGTGCTGCCCGCCTGGAGTGTCCAGTTGAACTGGTCAGTCTGAGACTGCTGCCACTGACACAGACCTTTCTCAAAGTCACAGTCAACATTGGACTTGGGACCTAAAGATAATGGTATAAATATATCCACGTTGTTATCCTGTGTCCATGCAACTGGTTTCTTGAAATAATTTACAACAAGCAAAAAAAAAACCTTCCCAAAAAAAAAATGTGAGGTGGTCTGACATAATGAGTTACTTCTCAGATTTTAGCCCAATAGAGATATGTAAAATGTGTAGGTGGAGTTCGTACAATTTATAAGTATGAAATAATAAAAGACATGTTAAACTTGAAAAAAAAATTGCATCTATTTAAAACCTACAAATTTGACCCCAGTGTTGATGATTTTCAGCAAATATTGCCAATCATAAATTGCAAGAAGTAACTCATTTTGTCAGAACACCTCACAAATGCCTTTTGATTTCAAAAAAAAAAAAAAAAGATACACCACTTACCCTACAGTACTTTCATACTATTTATAGCGCAAGCACATTCCTGATTTTCACTGAGGACCTGCAGATCAACCTCAGCTTTGTGCCAGCACAACAACAACAAAAATAGTTTTTTTAGAGTTGTGTAGTTTGTTTCAGACGCCAAAGTGGTTCAATGTCTTATTACGTTTTCACGTAGTTCTGCAGCCAAAAACTCACATTGGCACTCTTCTAAAGATAAAAAAGCACATAAGCTTTGAGTCACAAAGCACGTCTCTAAGAACAAAAAAAGAGCACATTAGCTGTTGAGATAATCATAAGAAGCACTGCTCTAAGGGGAAAAAAACCATTGTAGTTTTAAAGAACATATTAACAGCTTTGAGAAAAACAACACTGCTCAACCACAAAAAAAGCAAAGAAGCTTTGAGACAAAACCACAGCTCCTACAGCTGTGTTCACACTGGAGTACGAGCCATAAATGGTCGCTTTTAAGCACAAGGGGCTATCCCGGAAAATGCTATTTTGAGCAAATCGAAGGTTAAGTTTTGACCTTTGTTCAGTTTCATTGAAAGACAAGGAAAGTTTAATCTATACATATAAACAAATATACACACCAATAAAACAAAACTGCTCTTATGGGTAGAGCAATGCCCACTTTTGGTGTAGGTCAAGATTTCTGGAAACACCCGAAATCTGGGTTAAAAGCGGCCAAATATGATCTTAATAATCATTTATTATCATTAATTAATACTGTTTGCGTTCCCCTCTAAAACTCTGGTGTTCCAGATAGGTGAGCGTACCTTGTGGTGGCGCAGTGGCGGGCACGGTTGTCATGGGCGGAGTAGGTGCCCCTGTGACAGAGGCTGTGCTGGGTTTCACTGAAACAAACAGAGGGTCAACGGTCAAGGGTCACATCAACTATGTGGGTGGTTGTTGGGTGCTCCGGTGAGGTTTGTTCATTTTTTGCTATCAAACACCTATCATCGTTATTTCTCCTCTTTATCGTCTTTGTATGTTGCTCCCTAGTAACACCTCTAATCTTTATGCACTTATATGGCCTATTTGCGTTGGTAAGTGCCGAAAAAATCTTAACCAAAACTAAACTAAAACAAGTTATCTCTTATCACTAAACACTGCCGTATAAATGGCATTTATGGCATTTAAGAACCAGGCTCTTTGCATAAGAAGATGTCGATAGTGCCGTAAAACATCTACCCCATCAATAAAAAAAAGCATAAGAAGAGACTTTGATCCCTGAGTGTGGAATTCTTTCTGCCGCGATGCTGTTGCGGATTCAACCTGATTTTGTCCTGGCAGTTGAGGTTTAAGCAGCATGCTTTTAAATGATCACGACTGAATCAACGCATGTGTAAAACATCCATCCATCCTTCTATCTGTTCTATCAGTCTGTCTCTCTGTTTGTTTGTTTGTCTGTCTCTCTGTCTGTCTCTCTACCAATTCAGAGCTATCTGTCTATATATTTCATATCACATCTTCAAAAATGAACTGCATTGAGTCCAGGAGTTAAACACCAACAAGACGAACTTTAAATCTAAGTACAATAAGATCCTTTTCATAAAGCACAGAGATATTTTCTGAGAGTCTTTTCCATTAATCTCCTGAAAATAGATTTTTCCCATATTTGGCTACCATAAATCCCCCCACCCCTTTCCCCCTTTCTTTTTCGCTCTCCCTCTACTCCCCCATCATATGAGCAAGACTCCTCTACACAAAAGCTATATTTGACCACTTTGGACAAGCTACATCATCCCCCCCCCCCTCTCCTACCTCCCTCCACACCCCCCCCCCCCCCCAAAACCACCCCCAGTGCATAGCCAAGACTCACCTGCACAAAATCCCGTTGTAACGGTGAAGTCGTCCAGAGCTAGGTAGCCTTTCCCTCCCTCTAGAGTGACGGAGAAGGTGAGTCTGTAGACTGTGGCGCTGTACACATATGCCTGAGCCTCCAAGAAAGCTTTAGTGCCTGTGTTACTGGCTAGCTGCCACACCGCTTTCTTACTCACAGATGTCTGATCAGAGGAGAATGGTAAGAGAATTATTGAAGGGAGGAAAAATTTAATGGTAAAGAAGTAGGTTTTATTTAACTAGAAGGTTAGAAAGAGGAAAAGCCAGATGAAGAGAGAGAGGGGGGGGAGAAGAAGACAGGGACACACAAAAATAGAGAAAGAGAGAGGGGGAGAGGGGGAGAGGAAGAGAAGGAGGGAAAGGAAAAGAAAGGGGGGGGGGCAAGAGAGAAGGGGGTGGAAGATAGAGAGAAAGACGGTGAGAGGGAAAGAGAGACCAGGATGGAGCAGGATAGAAAAAAAGAGAGGGAGGGATGATTCCAAATAAACTCTTCCCTCCCTCTCTGAAAACACTTCACACACGCACACGCGCGCACACTCGCACACACGCACACACAAACACACACACACACACACACACACACACACACACGCACACACACACATGTACACACACACACATGCACGCACACACGTGCACACACACACACACACACACACATTCAACACAGCACAGCACAGCTCAGCACAGCACAGCACAGCACAGCACAGCACTGCACAGCACTGCACAGCACAGCACAGCACAGCACAGCACAACACAGCACAGCAGTCAGTGACTCAGACCCACCTCGATATAAAGAGTAGCCGAGGAGAACCCTGAGCCGTAGTTGCTGTACCAGAAGTGGAAGCAGGTGCCCGAGGAGCTGGTGGCTTTCAGAGCTTCTGATCTCAGAGTGACCACCTGGCCCTGCTGTCTGCCACTGTTGCTATTGGACATCAGGATGGCAAAGGACCCTGAGATACACAGAAGGATGATAAAAGATTAAAGTAAAGTATAATCCCCTAACATCTTCACGTATCATGATAACCACTGTTTCCTCTTCCTGAAAACAAAGCACCAACCCAATGAGACCCCTCCCCCATATTCATTTAGGAGGTTAGCCTCATTCAAAAGGAGGTGAGTGGGAGGAAGAGAGGCTAGAAACTTTATCCAATATGAATTCACAACTGTAAGTATCAACAACAATGCTTCGTAAACAATTAATCTTAAAAGTTAAGTTTCAAAGTTTTACATATCAGTCACTTCACACATATTAATGGTACCTCATGGGAAACACTACAGACAACAAAAGTACGTCTTACAAACTATAAAAAAATCTATTTCTCAAAATTTATTTCACAGCTGGCTTTGGTCAAACTGACTAGATAAATTATCCTATTAACTCAACAGACTGTATTTTATGGCAAAAACATTTTGAGAGCTGGCAACACACATTTCTCAATGTTAATTAGATTTTATCCCCCTCTTCTACTTAACATCTCTGTTGTAAACATATCATGCCCCAACTGACACTATTAGGATCAATAAAAACATAATAACCAGTTTTTCACACAATGTTTTATTTCCTCCAGTCACACGATCAGAACATAACAACATCAGTGGGTGGTTGGCGGGTGCTCTGGTGTGGTTTTTTCCTTCTTTCCTATCAAACATCTATCGTCCTTATCTCCCCTTCTTCTTTTTCATGTTTGTTACTCTGTTGTAACACCTCTAATCTTCTGGCGCCCATATGACCATATGCAGTTACGAGCGCCGTAAAACCTCTATTAAAACAATAACAACATCAATACGAGGTGACCGTACCATTTGCTGAGGCAGTTGTGTGGTCCACTGCTGGATGTGCACTGCCCGCCACAAATACTCTGGAGTTGGCGGTCACTCGAATGAACTGGGCCTGGATGCCATTATGCAGAGATTGTTTGCCCTCCCAGCTGCACATGCCTGTCTCAAAGCTGCACTCACCTAGAACACAAATCAGACTTGTTGATGAGTGATGTGCTATAGAACTCAGTGGTGGTTATTTTGATGTTGTAATATAGACACATACCAACAGACAAAAGTGGGGAGGAAATAATATGTGTGGCATTGCGTGAAATCAGGCGCTCGTCAAAATAGTGAAATCCGAGAAATCGGCATTTTTCAGCCAGTTTGGACTTTTTTCCGAATTTTTGTTTTTTGTCTCAACGCCTTGTACGTCAATTCAAAATCATTTTTATGTGTGGATTGTATGGAAAAACGTTGATTAAAGGCACGAGAAATGTAAATTTGTAGTTTCCAAAGACTCCTAAGCTATGGAAGTCACCAAACGTTGGTGGTCATTTTCTCGCTAAATACACTTCTGAAATCAGGCGACCCTCACCTCATTCAAATGTAAATATCTCAACTTCTGTTCAAGATAAATGGATATTTGTTTTCATCGAAAGCAAGGCAAGAATGACCTTTCAGGTGATACCAACAACTACACATGCCCAAAAATTGACAAGCACCTGATTCCACTGTGTCGTGACACATATGAATATTCCCACTCACCTAGAACAAAAGTCAGATATGTAGTGTACTACAGAACTGCGCTTCAAACATAGGAAGAATTAGCCATGAAAGAAGTTGCATGAAGACAACCTTGAGACCATCTTAAGCTGAATTGACCGTCTGCATAGACGAAAAGAGCCATATATATATACAGAACTAAATGGAGGTCAATTTAAAGATGTAATATAGACATATAATATACCAACATACAAGAACTGGTGAACAAATATAATGAATATTTACTACAGGAAATACAAGAATTAATTCTCACACATAAAGTATGTAGTGTACCATGACGAAAAAAGAGCCACCCATGAAAATGATATTTCCAACTCAAAATACACTACAAAAACCTTGCACAATACACAACCCAATATTCTGACAAAAATGGTGAAAATCGTAACAAGAGTGCTTTCAAAACAGAATATATACTGACGAAGCAGAAAGAGAAGCAAAGTAAAGAGACACATAACTTTGTAAGGAGAGAAAAACAGTTGAACCTGCTCTACTAGACACCTTTCCAAGACAATCATATTATAATGACACACTCCAAGACCTCCACCTGTCTAAAACAACCACTTTTCTCCTAGAAAATGGATGGCCATCTTAGAAAATTTCAACTGTACGAACAAAATAGAGAGAGGCTCAAAATGAAGAATACACAGTACACAACTTTGACAAGTGAGAAATTATTGACATGTTCTCATGAGGTCAGTAGACCAGCTGATGACAGTAGTCCCGATGACATCTTGATCAACTTCACAAGAAGGCATCGAAACAGCTGACATCATCAGGTCAAGGGTTATGTCTCTCCCAGGTGTCATGAGTGTACAAGAACAGCTTGGACTTAATTGGCCAACTATGTTATAATGCGTCAAGGTCGTTACGTGACCTTCTTGTAACTAAACAACAACTTCCATTACTACTCATTTTCACAGAGGTCTTGTTCTCGTGTTTGTTTGTGAGCACACTTCCTAATTATTCATCAAGCTATAAACATAGCCAGAATGTAACATGGTGTCAGAAGTGACAGTATCATTACCACCAGGTGTCAGGTCTGCGACAGACGTCGGCCATAAAAGTTTGCCATCATTTTTCTTCTCAGATGCTATCACAAAAACTTATATTATCCTGGTCTTTCGCCATCACCTACCATTCAGGCTGTCCATTGAATTACTTTGGGTCTTCCACAGCCGAATTTGTCTTCAACGTTACCCAAGAGATAAAGATGTTCCAGGCCTTTATATCGATTTTTTTTATCCCGGAATCTATATTTGTCTCTTCAAAACTGTTTTTTATTTGTGAGCGTCCCACTTGGACTTCTTTGGATACCACTTCATTTGATTTCTTTTTCTTGGGACAGATAAGCAGCTATAAGCAGAGAGAAAAATGTGAGGGCGGATAGAATTTTGTTTTATTCTTGCAGATATTTGCCTGAGACTAGAAACATAAAAGTCAAATCGAAGGTAGGCAGTGGCTTTCCTGAGGCCACAGTAACAACCAACAAAGAGAGAAAGAAAAAAGAAAAACGAGAGCACTGGCATAACTTTGCTTTTTGGTAAATATTTATAATGTATGCCTTGCAAGACACACACGTTACATCAAAAGCTTATGAGAGTCTATATTATTATTTTTTAAGACTAAACCCTCAGTTAACAAATATACGCTCAGATATATAGCCTACGCAACATCTCCATGTGATCAGAAAAATATACACAAAACCTCCATACGAGGAGAGAAATAGAGAAATATACACAAAAGAAAGAGAGAGAGAGAGAGAGAAAGAGAGAGAGAGAGAGAGAGAGAGAGAGAGAGAGAGAGAGAGAGAGAGAAGGTGCAAGGCCAGAGGGTGAAGGGGAGAGATACACGTAATACAATAAAAATGTATCTTGGTGAGTGCTCATCTGTGCCTACAATAATGTGTAGAAACAGGTTGCAGTATGCAGTGCCATCTCAAGGAAGTGCTGAGTGCAGAATGAGTGTCTGGCACCACAGCTCTTTCGACATCTTCTTTTCTCCGCACAGAAGAAGGCATCGAGACAGCTGAGGCTCCAAACACAAGAGGCACCAGGGGGCACTGCTCATTCACAAGATAAGACGCTGAGTTAAAGGGAATACCGTAAGCTTACATAGAAAGGCAACTCTCACCATTTATTGCTCCCAAAGGTAAAACACTGAGTCCAGGGGAATACCGAAAGCTCACATGGTGAGACAATTCTCACCATAAGCTCACAAGATAAGACAACCCTCAGATAAGATCACATGGTAAGGCAACTCTCACCATTGCTCAGATACGAGTAGTAAGACCCTGAGTTAAGGAACACCATCAGCTCACATGATAAGACAACTCATGCCATTAGCTCTGAAGGTAAGACATAAAGAAGAACATCATTTGTCTCAGATGGGAAGACGTTGATTTAACCCTATCCGTACGTCGTGTTTTATTATCGTATCCCTACAATGGGTGGAACTCTGTGCCACCACTTTCCAAAGAGAATATTAACTCGTTAATCTGATCCGTACACTTTGCATAGCAGTCTGTCAAAAGGATTTTTTGAGAAATACTGAAAGTATCAAAGACATCTTTGCACTAGAAGTATTCTAAAATGTGAAGAATACAACCTCGGGGGTACAAAATGACCCCAGGGCGTATGGATAGAGTTAAGGAACACCATCAGCTTGCATGATAAGACAACTCACGCCATTAGATCTGAAGGTAAAGCATAAAGAGGAACATCATTTGTCTCAGATAGTAATACGCTGAGTCAAGGAATACCATTAGCTCACATGGTAAAATACTGGAACATTATTCGCTCAGATGGTAAGATGCTGAGTGAAGGAGAATACCACTAGCTCACAAGGAAAGACACTGAGCAAAGACATAAAAGGATAAGCTTGATCATCCTAAGAAGCGTGTTTCATGAAGAAAAAAATTTAGCTTTGGTCATCCTGAAAATCATATTTTCATGAAATAAAAAACTCAGATGAGAAAACAGAAGATATCGGATCAAATAGTTGTACTTTTTTTGACTAAGTTTGACAAGAACAAAATGAGAATCATCCTTACCAGGCACGGGGCAGGTATTGGTCAAAGACACATCATCAATGGAGATATCACTCAAGTAGCTTGCACCGACTGACGCTTGGAACACAAGCTGGCGATACAAAAACATAAAGGTGTGAATTGAGAACTCCAGCAGAAATAATAAAACAATTTTAAAAAACAATCATCTCAGCCAAACCTGGGGTCAGCTTAAATATACCTAACACTGACCAATGTCATGGCTATGTGACAGATTGGTCATCTCAACCAAACCTATGGTTACACTGTTCGCACTGAACAATGTCATGACTATGATACGAGTCCGTCAGTCCTACATCCAAACCATACACTGACCAATGTCATGGCTATGTGACAAATTGGTCATCGCAGCCAAACCTACTGCTGCCATACCAGTCACATTGATAGTGGGTGGTTGGTGGGCCCTCTGGGGTGTGGTTTGCTCCTTCATCCTATCAAAAATCAATCATCCTCATCACTCCTCCATCTTTTCTTTGTATATTAATCTCTAGTAACACCTCTAATCTTTGGCACGTATATTGTGATCTAATTTGGTTGCAAGTGCCGTAAAACTTTTACTAAAAAAAAAAAAAAAAAACTTGTAAGATAAAAGTCAGTTATCTCAACCAAACCTATTTCTGCGAAACCACTCACATTAACTGAGGTCCCTTGCGAGCCGGGTGGGAGTGGAATGCTCTGCTGCAGCCATTCGTTGGGTTGTGGCCCCTTCAATGACCACAGCTGTGTGTTGGTGATGAAGGAACCAGTCCGGTTCAGGGATCCCAGGAACACGGTCAGCGTGCCCATGCCAGCGCCGTACATGTGATAGTAGAAGGACACACACTGACCGGACGTAGGCTTGAATGGAGGTGACCACAGCAAGGCTTTGTTTCCATACTTCTGTCCAGAAGCTTCTATGTACATGTAATGACCTGCAGGCAAAGAACAAAACAGTTTTTAAAAACAGACAATTCAAGAGGAACAGAAAAGTGGGAAGACATGGAATCACAACAAAAGGCTGGCCCAGGATAGGGAAAGGTGGAAAATGTTTGTTTGTGGCATATAGTTCCTGACCCTGGGGGAGAAAGGCAAGGATGATGAATTCAAGAGAAAGTTCTCAAAAGAATTTTGGAACTATATGTCACTTTATTTTACTTTTACTTTCCTGGTCCAGTTGTCATCAGAGTTTGAGCCCTTCAGCCCAAACGGAATGTTACAAAGTGAAAACAAAATGCCTCAAAAGAAACAGAACGCAATAGAAAGCAACAGCGATCTCCTATAAGCAGAATCCAGCTATACAGAGGAAACATGTTGTGCTGTTTTGTTGTATGCAGATATCTGTGGTAGGAACTAGTCCTGCCCTCTGCAGTTGTAGCCATTTTTTCCTTTCTAATAAAATCATCACGAACAATGATTTTTTTCTCATTCTGCAAAGAAACTCATAAGCATTATATTTCGAAATGCAGGAAAATGAATCTCCTATGAGATTTTCTACAGATAAAAGTAAGCTGAACAGAAAATGTTGGTTTGTGTGAGTCTAAAGACTCTGGAATGGAAAAGGTCACAAATTTGTCGAGCTGTGAAATGCAGCTCACAGCCATAAAATATCGGTCATGCTAGCCACATTTTGCAGCTTGCAGTAGGGAATAAGTTAATGGGAGCATCAAATATATTTTATTAATCACACATAGCAAAGGTAAAAGGCAAGAGAGGAAGTAGAAGATCTAGCAGAAAATGGGTGCAGAACATAGAAACCTGGCTTGGAGCCAGAATATCTCCGGCAGGCAGACTGGCAAGAAACAAAGTGTTTTATTGCAAGAAGATCTGAGAAGCAATCAGCTTCCGGAAATGTTAAGAAGGGGGAGAAAAATCACACATGACTGTGTAAAAGGAGCGGGGGGGAGAGCATAGAAATGTGACAGCTGGTTTGACTGACCGACAGAAGTTTTGTATGTGTGATCAAATCTGGGTCCAGTGCCCGTAGATTTTGTGGAGCGCTGTGTCCTCAGCCAGTCAATGTTATCTGTGTCGTCCTGCATGTAGCCGCAAATATTGGCAGTCTCAAAGTCACAGTTCACAGGTGACTGCAACGCTCCTGAACCTAAGAAGAAAAATATATTTTAAAAATACTTTAGAAGACAGCTTACACATTTGAATAGAAAAGTAACTGGTTTTTTTATGTACATGTTTGTACACCCCCACTAACACAATTTAGATCATATCAGAGGAAAGCTTTAACTCTGTCTGTCAGGGCCAACCTGGGCTGAGAAGGATACAACATCCCAGCACAATGACCGAGATACTCGATTAAAATTCTCCCACCATTTAAATTTAAGTCAGGTGTCCTGCTTCCCACAGCAAAGTGCCTTACCACTACACTACAGCCGCCAGTCATTTGAACATATCTGGAAGCAAGTACAGATGCATTCATTAAAAGACATAATTCAAAATGAATTTTTAAGTGTCTTTAACTTTTCATCTCCGAGGTGGGTACACCCACTACACCAGGGCCCTTTTTTGGTACTAAATCTAAAAATTATGATAAAAGCGTCATAAAATGAATTTTTACGTGTCTAAAAAACATGTGCAGATATTCCATTATAAAAGTATTGCAAGTGCCTCCTGTGGGCTGAGAAGAACAAAAACAAAAAGAACAGGAAGAATAAGATCAAGAAAATCAAGAAAAAAATGACAAAGGAGACTCACTCTGACAGGGTCCTTGAATCAAATTAACATCATCAACAGCAATATCTCCAGTCCAGTACATGCCTCTGGTGGTTTCTAAAACAATCTAGACACACAAAAGGATTCCATTAAAAATCTTAACACAACCTTGTTGTATACTTTTAACTCTATCTCCTCGGGGGCTTAAAACCACTATGCTTAGGCCCTCTTTTGGTACAAAATCTAAAAGTGACAAATATGTCAATAAATTGGTAATTAAATCAAAACTAGTGAACCTATTTTGATAGTTCCTCATCTTATGAACAAACTCCTGGTAAAAGAGACCTATTTTCCGAAATTGCCAAAAAGTAATTTGGCGTCAAAGTTGTTGAAAAGGAATGTGCCAGCCAGCACAGCAGTTCCAACTGTTAGCCGTTAAGCAAAGTGCAAAACGGTACCAGAGCCCTCTCAAACCAACCACCCATTATATTGTGCCATTTCACTAAGCAAAATTGAAATTCTACGAGTTAGACACCCTCTTGTAACACTCGAAGGTTATTTTCGAGATAGGACCTCTGAATTTAACGTTCATTACCAAAAGGACCAAGCCAAGAGGGAACGTTTTTGTAAAGTGCCTTTCCCGAAGACACAACACTGGACCAAGCTGAGCCTCAAACCCGCAATCCTCTGAATAATTTTTTTTATGAGTCCAGTAGCCTAACTGCTAGACTACCAAGATAACTCTCACTGAGCTCAACACAGAAAAAATTGCTATACTAAAAGAGCACATTCGTGCCCTCATCTAAGTATAATTTCTTCTTCTTCTTCAAGGGCCAGATCTAAAACAGACACCAGAAATCATAATTCACCTGTTATTTCTCTGCTTGGCTACTCTAAAAAAAACCTATACTATCCTGGTCTTTTCCCATCATCAATGTGTTCAAGTTCATTTTTTTTTGTGGTCAAGATGTATAATCATCAGTTTGAATATAGAAAAATGATATCAATACAAGACATTAAACCCACATCACAGCACGTGAAAATCCAATGCAAGATAACAAAATGCATTGACTGACCTGGTTAGCAAAGGCCATGGAGGATCCCCCGATGTCGACATTAGCCTGCAGCCAGTGGTTCCCCTGAGTGCCGTTCATTTGCCACAGAGTCAGAGTCTGGTTGTTGGGACCTTTCAGTTGTACCGCAAGACTCCGCACTGTGGCTCCGTACATGTGGTACCTTATGAGATTCAACAAGTAACACACAATAAGCACAATATTTGACAACTCAGAAATCATAATTCTTGGTAAAAGTAAAGTATAACCCCCTTCCATGTCTTTGTGCATCACAACAACCTCAGCCAGCTGCTTCCTGTTCTCTTGAAACCAATCCCATTGTGACCCCAAGATGACCTCAGATGTTGCACACCAGGTCAAACCTGAGGGGGCTATACTTAATTTTTATCTAATTCTGTCTATATGTTATCATTGGGTTACTCTTTTTCTTGGAGGAAATTAAATGAGTTATTTTTATAACTCTATCAACCAAAGCACACACCTGAGTGCATATCATCATAACATTCTGCAGATCAAGCATACACCTCTGTGCCAGCAGACAATTACCTCTAACAGTTTTCCCAACGGAGCTCCAGTGTACAGGTCACGTACGTACACAGAGCTAGGGCCCACTTAAATGGTTCAGCTTCAGATTCAGTAACACAGTCAAGTAACTTGCATTTGAAAGGAAATACAAGTACTGACCAAAAAAAAAGCAATTGCACTAAAATTGCTCCACAATCTCTATGATCCAGCCGTCTCTGGCCTAGTGACCAGTGGTACCTCCTTCCAATATTAATGTTTTTATTCTTTTTTAAGTACCAGATCAGAAGACACATTGGCAATCATGGCTCACCAGTCATTTTTCTACTCATTATGCTTTCAAAACTCTTAATGGTCGCTTTTAAGGACAAGCGGGCTAACCCAGATTTCGGGGGTTTCCAGAAATCTTGGCCTACACCAAAAGTGGGCATTGCCCTACCTATAGGAGAAGTTCGGTTTCATTGGTGGGTATATTTGTTTGGTTATAGACTAAACTCTCCTTGTCTTTTAAAGAAACTGAACAAGGGGCAAAAACTTTGCCTTCGATTTTCTCAAAACAGCATTTTTCGGGATAGCCCCCTTGTGCTTAAAAGTGACCCATTATCATCCCAGTCTTGTCCTAAATTCTAAGTAAGTTTCCTAAACAGTTATTCTTGCCCAATCTCTACCTCTTTTGCCTAAATTTACCTAGGGAGAGTAAGATATCCATGGCCTTATTGTAAATCCAAAAATCCTAGAAGCTGAACTTGTCTTTATTTGTGACCATCCCACTCTGGCTTCTTTCAGAACAACCTCATTCAATTTCTTTTCTTTCCTCATAAAAATGGAGTTAACATTATTTCCTTTTGATATCTAACTGAGACATCAGTATGTCTGTTTCAGTGAAGAGATGAACATGGATATACCAATACTGAGGTAGTGTCTACCAAAAAGTCAGACAAACAGACAGACAGACAGACAGACAGAAACAGATGAGGGAAAGAAAAGGCATCTGCTTGTTTTGAGTAAAGAGACTAATAACAACACAATAACGGTCATTTAGTGCCATGGAAAAAGTGTGACACACAGACAGACAGACGGACAGACAGAAACAAAAGAAATAAAGAAAAGATGGATTGCATTGTCTTTGCCACTCACCAGAAGGAGAAACACTGCTGAGAGCTTCCACTGATGGCGGGGCTGAGGAGGCGAGCCTGGTCCCCTAGCCTACCACTGGACGTCTCCATGTATATGTAGAACCCACCTGCACGACAAGTCAATCGTTATGTGAGCAAACCAGAGAACTGTTTGTTTGTGTTTTTGTTTGTGTTTTTGTTTGTTTGTTTGTGGTGTAGAACCCATCTGAACAACAATCGTTTTGTGAATAAACCAGAGAACTGTTTGTTTGTGAGGTTTGTTTGTCTGTTGTGTAGAACCTATTTGAAAAGCAAGTCAATCATTATGTGAATAAACCAGAGAACTGTTTGTTTGTGAGGTCTGTTTGTTTGTTTGTTGTGTAGAACCCATCTGAACAACAAGTCAATCATTATCTGAATAAACCAGAGGACTGTTTGTTTGTGAGGTTGGTTTGTTTGTTTTTGTGTAGAACCCATCTGAAAAGCAAAGGACAAGTCAACCGTTTTGTGAACAAACCTGAGAATTGTTTGTTTGTGTGCTTGTTTATGTGTGTGTGTGCTTGCTTGTGTGTGCATATGTTTGTGTTTATTTGTTTGTTTAGTTGTTTGCTTGTTTGTTTGTTTGACTAGGTGAAGAGAAACACATTGACAAAATAACCGTTATTTAATGCATCAGAAAAGTAAGACATACAGACAAAGCAGACATGAACAAACCAAAGAATTGTTTGTGTGTTTATTTGTTTGAGTAAAATGAAATACATTAATACAATAAGCATCACTTAGTGCGTCGGAAAAGTAAGACAGACAGACCGAACCAACAGAAGATAAGAAAAGAAGTAGGTGCTATCAGAGGCACGCTCTAACCGCCTGCATAGAGAATTGTATGGTAGTTCATAGCTTTGAGTTGTGGGTGAGGCAGGCAATGAAACATAGCACTGTTCCCAAAAACTATAATATGGACCAGAATAACAACAGAGAAGTAGAGGGAAAAACCTCAGCGCAATGCCTACCAATCACTCCTATTGGCCTTGGAGATCATGTGAATAATACCTGATTATGGATAACAATAAAAATGCTATTGAGAAATCCAAATTGAGACCTTCTAGTGCAAAGTGTACATATTTTTCTGTTTGAGTTTGAGTAAAAAGAAGCACGTAAACATAGTAACACTCATTAGTTTTCCCTTCTCTCCCACTGACAATATCGGTGACAACGGCAGTTATAACGAGAATGTCAATAAAAACAGCAACAACAACAACAATGACAATGACAAAGACAAAAACAGCAGAACTGACTAAAAAGATAATGTTGGTGACAACAACAACAGCAAAAAAGGCAGCGACAATAATCATAACAAAATAACAATGATGACAAAGACAAAAGTCAGTGACAACAACAGCAGCAACAACATCAACAACAACAACAGAAATAGTGCAGACTGTGACCAACAAGAGAATGACAAAAACCATAACAATAATGATGAAGAGTAAGACAAAAGTCAGTGACAACAACAACAACAACAACAACAACAGCAACAACAACAACAACAGCAACAGCAACAACAATAACAACGACAGTAGCATACTTCCAGAAGTGTGGTCTTTCGAAGGGCCAGTGCGGGAGGAATCCGTGGCACCCTTATGCCTGGTCCACCCCAGTTGAGCAGTCTTATCCACCTTCCAGCCACAGAAGTCTGTCTCAAAGTCACACATGATGCCAGCTGAAAGATGGACGGGGCACAGTTATCTCAGTTGGTAACATACTAGACTACGGAGCAGCAGTATAAATCCACAAGGGGAATTTTTAAGGCTTTCTACCCTTTTGGCCTGGTCGTACTGAAGATGGACATTAAATTCAGAGGTCCCACATCTTATACAAGGTACCCACTACGGCTGGATCGGGCCAATCGCCCGACTCGGTCGCCTGAAACTGAAAACAAACACGTTTGTTTTTGAGGTGACCAAGTCGGGCGATCGGCCGATCCCATCCGTAGTTACAAAATCTAGACAACTTCAGAAATCCAAATTTCTGGATTTATCCAGAAAAATGGGCATCTCTCACAAGTTACTCACGTGGTACGGCAGCCAAGGTGTTTGTTGGTGTGGTGGTAGGAGAGCCTGTCGTCATGGGTACAGCAGAGTTAGGCTGCAGTAAGCAAGGCTGGTTGTCACCCACAGTGAAGGACAAGTCGTCTATGGCAATGTCGCCGGTGTAGGACACGCCTTTCACGCCTTCCACTAGCACCTAAGACATTAGGAAATGTGATATCAGATGAATGGTAAAAAGCTTTATTGGTAGTAGGTCATCTATTACAGAGTCAGCAGTACAAGCTTCCGCTAGCACCCCATGAGACATTATTAAATGTTATCAGAATAGATGGAGAAGGAAGTAGAAGCATATTTAGCAGTTACTTGTCTATCGCAAAGTTAGAAATGAAAGACAAGACCATGCAAATCTTCCACAAGCACTTATGACATAATGAATTGTGATATCAGAATAGAAGCAAAAAGAAGAAAAAACTGACGGTATTAAATGTTATCAGAATGGGTGTAGAAGGAAGTAAAGGCATATTAGCAGAGTCAGTAAATAGATACAGACTCCACATGAATCCTACAGCTATTATGTCGCTGTTCTCCGTAGCTATAATTTGATATCCCTCCCCCACCCAACCTTATTCTCTCTCTCTCTCTCTCTCTCTCTCTCTCTCTCTCTCTCTCTCTCTGTGTATGTATGTTTTCATCTCTCTTTCATCTCTACATGTGTGTGAGCTCGTGTGTTTGTGTATGTCTATATGTGTCTCACCCTTTATCCATCTCTGATTCCTTGTAACTGCCATGCCCCTAAACAATTTTAGGATCCACACTCACCCCATAACTGCTATATCCCCCAAATAAAAACTCACCCTGTAGCTGTTCGTTTGCTGCGGTAGCTGTACTCTCCCCTCGTGCCATCCCTGCCCCTGGTCACCGCTGAGCTCCCAGACAGCTTGCCTGGACAGCTGGCTCAGACTGTCCACTGTGGTGTCGTACGTGGCCAGCCACATGCGCAGAGTCCCCGTGGTGGAGCCGTACATGCTGTAGTAGAAGTGGAAACACACTGCTTGGTTGGGCGGGAACAGGTCGCTCTGAAGGAGGGCTTTGTCACCAGCCACACTCGGAGACGATGTTTCTATGTACAAGTACGTACCTGAAAGGAAAGGACAATTGTACAAAATAACAGACTCTATATGAAACTGTTTCTACGTATTGGTATGCAACTGAAAGTAAAAGACAATGGTACAAAATAACAGACTCTATATGAAACTGTTTCTACGTATTAGTAGGCCTACATACCTGAAAGTAAAAGACAATGGTGCAAAATAACAGACTCTATATGAAACTGTTTCTACGTATTAGTAGGCCTACATACCTGAAAGTAAAAGACAATGGTGCAAAATAACACTCAACTTGAAAATGTTTCATGTATTAGTATGTGCCTGAAAGAAAGAGTATGAAGATACAATATGATGGACGCAATGGAAAAATTAATATTTCTACATACAAGTATATGCCTGAAAGAAAAAGACAATAATTGTATAAAATGGCAGACTCAATGAAAATGTTTCTATGTATCAGTATGTGCCTGAAAGAATGAAAAGGTACAAAATGACAGACTCAATGAAAAATTATTGCTTCTATGTAGGCCTACAAGTAAGTGCCAGTAAGAAAGAGTAATAATATAAGAAATAGCAAACTGTATGAAGATGCTTCTCTGTACAAATACGAGCTTTAAAGAAAGAAGACAAAGGTACAAAACAACAGACGGGATGAAAATGTTTCTACATGTCAACATATTAGTATGTGCCTGAAAGAAAAGACAAAGATATAAAATAACAAACCCTATGAAAATGTTTCTATGTGCAAATATATGCCTTAAATAAAGAGTCCAAAGAGAAATTAATGATGGACTCAATTAAAAATTAATGTTTCTATGTACAACTAGGAGCCGGTTAGAAAAAGGACAAGTCTTAAAAAATAGCAGACTATATGTGAAGTGTGCTGACAAAATGAGTTACTTCTCAGATTTTAGCCCGATGGAAATAAAAGCATCAAATTTACAGGTTGAAGTTTTTACAATTTATCAGTATGAAATGATAAAAGACATGTTAAACTTGAAGAGAATGGCATTGGTTTAGAGTCTACAAATATGACCCTAGAGTTGATTTTTGGCTGATATCTCCATTCATGGTTTGCGAGAAGTAACTCATTTTGTTAGCACTCCTCACATATAAAGATGTTTTTACATACAAGTATTCAGCTGCAAGAAAAAGGACAAAAGTGAAAAAATAACTGACTAAATACAAAGATTTCTATATAAAGTATACGCCTAAAATTTGAAAAATAAAGAACAAAGGTACAAAGTAATAGTTCAGTGTTATGAGGAAGTAAAACATTTCAAATGAGACTCAGAGAATAGAAGATGTTTAGAAGTACGGGTTCATATCAGAGAAGAAAAGGAACACTGCACGAAAGGACAAACTACTGGGATGATCAGATCAGGAACTCCCGGAGTGTGGGGAGGAGGAGGAGGAGGAGGAGGAGGAGGAGGAGGAGGAGGAGAAGAAGAAGAAGAAGAAGAAGAAGAAGAAGAAGAAGAAGAAGAAGAAGAAGACGAAGAAGGAAGAAGAAGAAGGAAGAAGAAGAAGAAGGAAGACGAAGAAGAAGAAAAGCAGAGAAACAACAACAACAACAACAAAAAAGAGCCTGATGAAAAACAAGAACCTGACAAACAAAACTAACAAAAGAAAAAAAAGGAACAAGAATAAAAACAAGTAGACCAAGGGCAAGAAGAACAAGAAGATTCGCAGGCCTACATCTCACCATTAGACAGTCCTGTGGTGTGGTCAGCAGTAGGCCCAGTGTTGCCCGACTTGGTACCGCCTTTTCCCACAATCCAATCCATGTCATCCGATTTTGAGTTGGACCAGGTACATGTGTCTATCTCAAAGTTACAGTTGCCTGGAACAGAAACAGATTGCATTCAAGCAGAGGTAAACACCACATCTTCCTAAAACTGTCCAAGGTAGATGTAAAATACAAAGATGAATGTCATTGTCAATTTGATTGTCATTATGTTGTTGCTACTGATCTTTATAGGAAGTCATCTTTATTATATTACTAAATATTAATTCAGAAGTGCTATGAGATAACATAATATTAACTTCATAGTGTTATGACATTTTAATGTTTACGGTACTTACGACCTCATTGTTTTACTTCCTGTGTTCCGGTAACCTAATTACGGTCTTGTTTCGTTTCGCTATTGTCCTGGCTTTTTGTTCGCACTCCGAGTGTGCCGGCCGCATCACGAGCCATTAAACCTCTGTGCTTAATCCGCTGTGTTCTGTTATCAATCCTTCCTTGTATTCACGACGTGATAGAAAAATACAAACACGACACATAGATCCACAAGGAAAATTTTGGATGGATATACCAGAACATCAACATAAAAAGATTAAGCATTCAATTATAACTTTTATCTTTACTTTCTTTCTTTACCTACCATTTACTGATGAGCAAGTATCCTTCCTCAGAATAATGTCATCAATGGCGATATCGCTCGTGTAGCTGTTTCCTCGGATAGCTTCAAAGGTGATGTAAACGTCATCCTGACCAGCTGCAATGTCCACAGTGCCTCTGTTCCATTTATTGCCTTGGTTGCCTGAACAATGAAAAAGAGAAAGAAGTTACACACACTGTAAAACAACATTCAGCAGACCACAAATTGAAAACATATATTCATATTTCAAAGTCAGTCTGCCTATATGTCTGATTGGGTGCATATCTTTATGACCCTTATTGACACAATTTTTATCATTTTGAAGGTGTGTCTGTGTATGTGGGTGTGTGAAAGAGAGAGCTGGTAGAAAGAGACATTACTTGTTCAAAACGGACAATGAAAACTTTCTCTCCCTTCTCATCCTACTAAACCATTTACTACAAGCCTGCCCAGTGCACGAGCCACTACATACGTCAAAGAATGAAATATTGGCCAAACCAAGGCACAGGGACCCAAAGACCGACAGGAGCCTTCTTCGCTAGAATCAACGAATATCCATTTAGGGATGAACCTGAAGAAGAAGAAGAAGAAAATTGGATCCTACCTTAACTACGGCTCAAACTAACATTTCACTCACCTGATTTAATAAACTTTGCATTGGCCTGGACCTTGACCGCCAGCTGTCCCTGGTCAGCCCCGTACATGTGGTACCAGAACTCCAGACACATGGGGGAGGCCCTAATGGTCAGGTGCTTGACCGTCAATTGGGCCATCTCCCCTTTGCTGTGGTATGATGCTTCAATGTACATGTAGTGACCTGTAGAAAAGGCCAGGATAGAAAGGCATTTATTAACACTTTACAGTCACACAGCCAGCAGTACAAAATACCCCATCTGGCAACCCAATCAGGAGAGTGACTACAAAGGACCTCTCGGGCATGGTTCAGAAATGTGCCGGGTGACCAGAACGGATAATTTTCACCGGCGCATTATTGCGCCAAGTGACTGCAAAGTGTTAAAATTCACTCACGTGTCAGATACAGAGGGGCGGGTGTGATAATGAAGCACATTTCAGTTTACTCACACGTCAAATCAAGACTAGCAAAGAAGAAAAGTCACTTTATTCTTTTTAAGAAGGAGGATAACGGGGATGGGGGAGGGGAGGAGGGAAGGAAAAAGAATAGGAGGAGGGTAAGGAAAAAGAGGATGAGAGGAAGGAGTAGAAGGAAGGAGGAGAAAAAGAGGAAAGAGGAAAGCAATAATAACAAGAACGAGAAGAACAAAAACAAAAACAATAGCAAGAAGACCCCCGAGGAGGAGGAGGAGGAGGAGGAGGAGGAGGAGGAGGAGGAGGAGGAGGAGGAGGAGGAGGAGGAGGAGGAGGAGGAGGAGGAGGAGGAGGAGGAGGAGGAGGGGGGGAGAGGACAAAAAAAGACAAAAAGTCTAGTACTCTAGTGCTTTTTTGCCAAATCCAGAGACTTATCCCTGACCTTTCCCAGCTCCGTATGTGTGATCGGTGGATGGCCCTGTGTTCGAGGAGTCAGTGCGGCCTGAATGTCTCGTCCACTGCAGTGTCCCCGGGTCTTGCTGGTACTGGCACAGACCCTGCTCAAAGTCACAAGTAGCTCCAGCCACGCCAGCACTTGCTGTAATAAGAATGATAATAAAAATGATAATAAGAATATGACAAATGAAGATAAGAAGAAGAAGAAGAATAACAAAGACAAAATAATAATAATAATATTAGGGGTCTAATAATAATAATAAATATTATTATTATTATTATTATTATTATTATTATTATTATTATTATTATTATTATTATTATTATTATTATAACAAATCAACAACAAAGATAATAAAAGTAATAACAATGATAAAAATATCATCATAATAATCATAATAATCATAATAATCATAATAATAATAATAATAATAATAATAATAATAATAATAATAATAATAATAATAGGCAGACCTTACAACTCTTAGAGACATTCTCAGCTTCCCAGGAAGCATACAGTGCATCCAGCCAATTGAGTGCTAAAATAATTTTTTTTAAGTTACATTAAAACAAGGAAGTGTTCATAGCAACTCGGATGTGTTGCTTTTCAGAGCAATGTAGCGTAATGTCTTTCAAAAGCAAACACATAGCAGTGCAGGCCATGACTTTGAGCCACTCTGTACTTGTAACAAAAACAGCAGGAGCAGACGATGGGTGGTTGGTGGGTGCTCTAATGTGGTTTTGCTCCTTCTTTATTATCAAACATCTATCGTTCTTATCTCTCCTCCTTCATTTTTGTGTTTATTACCTCTAATCTTCAGTAGTAATATTACTTAATTGTGTTGTAACTATCGTAAAAAGGATTACTAAAACAAAGAAGCAAACAACATGAAAGCATCCATGCAGCCACGAGAGAACTCACATTGAGGGCAGAAGCCAGGGGTGAGGGTGACATCATCTATGGCAATATCTCCTCTTGGTCCCGAGCCGACAACAGCCTCAATCAATATCTGAGAAGTTGGGAAGACGAAGGGGGAGGGGGGGCAGGGGGGGGCAGGGGGGGCAAACACAAAATGCTGAAGAACAACAGACACAAATAAACTAGACCTTTATTCCTTCATTTTTTCCTCTTCTTCTTCTTCTTCTTCTTCTTCTTCTTCTTCTTCTTCTTCTTCTTCTTCTTCTTCTTCTTCTTCTTCTTCTTCTTCTTCTTCTTCTTCTTCTTCTTCTTCTTCTTCTTCTTCTTCTTCTTTTTTTTTTTTTTTTTTTTTCCTCCTCCTCTTTTTCTAATACTCCTATTCTTTCATAGAACATTATTACCAATACTACTACATTCTTCCTACTATTTATTCAAGTCTACCTATATTTTGTTCTACTACATGATGATGATGATGATGATCAGAATCATCATAATGGTGGCAATAAAACATTTATAGTCCAGCCTACCTGTGTGGAGCTGGTCCTGTTGAAGTTGATGGCTGCCAGGTTCCACTGCTTCCCTTGGGTTCCCTGTCTGGTCCATTGGACCAAGCCCCTGGCATCTCTGACGTTCAGCTGGTAGACGTGGTCGCCCCACATGAAGTACCAGAAGCTCAGACAGTGTTGACCACTGGACATCACAGGGCTCCTCAGAACGGCCTTGTCATTCTGCTTGTTAGGGTAGGAGGAGTCAATGAAAGCAAACGAGCCAGCTGGGGAAGAAAGCACAGAGTCGTGGTTTTCGTCTTTGGTTTTTACATTCCTTTCTACCAGAATCTAGTGCATGCTCCGCCAATGAGTAAATCTTCAAATGTAGTGTAACTATTCAAGGTTTTGAGAGTGAGAGTAAGATTGGTGAGTGAAGTGAGGCAAGACAAGGAATTGGACAGAATTAGAAAAGAGGATTTTGGAGAGTTTTCTACAAATTCTAATGTCAGGTCAATGGTAGTGGTCTCTGCAGAATAAATTAGAGGCCTCAAGATGAAGCTTCCTCCGTTGAGTGTTATTTGTGGATAGGCTAGCAGCGCCTACAGCCGAGCCCAATTTAGAGCCATTGATGAACATTTTCTCTGCATCAAGATTTTGTTTAATTACTTTTTTTAAGGCGATTTTCGAAGTTTCTATGTCTGTCCATGATTTGTTGTGCGTGGTCAAGTCCAGGTTAATATAGACTCTAGTGAGTCTCATTTGCATTGGTGAGTTTGGAACCTCATATATTTAAGAAGAATATAAATGCTCTACTTCAAAATGGAATGTGCTGTTTTTCGCTCCAAAAAATATAATGTTTTGTTATGTTAAACTATGTTGTGATGAAACCATCATGGGTATAACTCAAAATAATAAAATGTGACTTGGTCATTTTTCCTCTGTAGTCTTCTCTCATTCTTTTTTTTTTTAAAGGGGATGATATGAGAGCTTTCTTTTGAGACAGTTTATTGCTGCTGTCTTTCACTGACCATAAACAAAAATGATTGTAACTTCCTTTCATGTATTGTAAACAAAATGTATTGTAGCTGTCTGTCACTTACTGCCGCTGTGGTCACGTTGTGGCCCAGTGGCCGTGGTCTGAGGACGTTGGGACTGTCTCTGCCAGTCAAAGTTGTCCGTCTTGTCCTGGGTCCACTTGCAGAAATCCAGGTTAAAGTTACAGTTCAAGCTGCCAGTAGCTGTGGACAGGAGACCAGAACATATTCAAGAATGCACTAATAGCCCAGTTGGTATATTGCTGAATTGTGCTTTGGATGACCCACTTTTAAATCCCTGATATGGCATTCCTGAACTAAGGGTGTTTCGAATTCTTCAAGGTTCTCTACAAATTTTGATTATCTCTTTTTGAAAATAAAGATTAATCTTTGAGGCTTCACCTCTTCAATGATCTTACAGTATATATAGGGACTTCAGATCTACAACATATCATCTATTCATAATTATTCAAAGGGGTTACAGAAGAATTTATAACTTAATTCTCTTACAAAGATAGTCTGTTCAATATGGCTTTCGGGATTTTTTAATATCGTGTTTTATAAACATAATCCACAACTTCAAAACAATGGCTGTCTTTGCAAATGTACTTTCTTTTTAATATGTTCTCTCTTTAACTCTTTATCTCTGGCAAACCGCTCCCAGGGGATCGCGGTCGGAACCACTGTGCTGGTGAGCCGCTGACATCAGCTCAAGCACTTTTTTTATGACGACTTCGATACCAAATTACTTTTTGGCAGTTGCCGAAAACAGGTCTCATTGGATGAAGAACTATCAAAATAGGTTCACTTATTTTGATTCAAAGACCAATTTAGTGACGTTTTTGTCATTTTTAGATTTTATTCCAAAAAAACCCTGCATAGTGGGTTTACCCCCTCGGAGATAAAGAATTAATACTATGATCCACTGCATTTCATACCAATTATTAAAAACACAGCATTTTGTGTCTACGACTATTTTCAATACATTTGCACGCAAAAAAAGAACTTTAAAAAAATATTTGATGTAATTACTTGGGTAATACAATCCAGTGCATGATCCCAGTAGAAAAGTTGAACAGGGTTGACATCCACCCCTTGGCGCTCATATGACTTTATGAAAACAATACAGAAATTATTATCATCATTATCATCAAGAACCAGAACTGAAGCTGACATATGCAATTATGGTTCAAAACGCATTGCTTTGTTCATGTGTTAGTTTTAGTAAGGTTTCACGGAGTTCGCAACTGCATTAGGTCATATGAGCGCCAAGGGCTGGATGTCAACAGAGGAGTCCAAACAGGAAATCAGGTTTACTCTGTTCACCTCTCTAGCCTCAACAATACTGTGCTGTCAATCAATAAAATATTATTATTCTGGTCTTTCCCCATCACCCACCTATTCAAATTCCCTTAGTAGCTTAAGCTGTTTATGATCTACCTCATCCTCTTTGGTCTTTTCTTTTTCTTGTATGAGCAAGATGTTAAAGGCTTTTATATCTTTCTTTTTATATCAGTTCAAGTTTTCCAGAAACTGCTTTTGTGTCTTTCTTTTTATATCAGTTCAAGTATCCCAAAAACTGCTTTTGTGTCTTTCTAATTATTTTTCGATACCCGAAACTCTAAACCCGACAAAACAAGTCCTGGTACATACTTGTAGGAGCTGCTGTCGCTGCGTTGAGGAGCGAGGGCTTTGTGGCTGGCTTGGCAGATGCTGGAGAAACTGTAACAGTCAGAGAGTGAGAATTGGATCAGATCAGATTGGACAAATGGCTTTTTTCTGATGTGGTTGAAGATTTGTAAAATGTTGTCAACAAATTTCACTCCCATCAGTATATAATTTAGACAACTGAAGAATTGGGTTGCCTTGACCATGTCTATCAGTTCAAATCTTAACAGTTTCCACAGAAGTATCATTAGGCACTAGCCATTCCTGACAAAGTGGTACATGATAAGTCAAATCTTCGTAGTTAATATCAATTACTACCAACTATCCCTGACAACATCCTGCGAAGGGTTGAGAAAGGGCTGCTTCAGGGTGAAAGGATGAACCCAAAACAACACTCATCCCTTACAGCCATCACGTGTATACTCTGTCCCTGGCACTCTGGAGTGAAGGGCAATGAGGAGGCTGATAGGATTGCAGGCAATGCTGTGGTTGATGGTGAGGTGAAATTTGACAAAGGAGAAGTGTTGAAGACCCTGCTGTAGGAAAAGTTGCGGGATGAGGAAGACCGGGAGACAGCAGAACACCATGCAATCATCAGGGTGCAGGAAATGGGGATAGAGAGGGGCGAAGGGAGAAAAGAACGATAATCTGGAAAGGAAAGACGTCACCATAATCAAACAACTACTGGAACAATTAGTATGGAAACCTTGCGGGCTTTGGTGCTGAAAGGAACTGAGCACTTATGGACCTGTCCAGTGTGAAATGATGTTGTTGTCCAGGACAGGTAAAACAGGTAAATCACTGACAATTTGGAATTATATACATTCTCTTCTGAAGAGGTGATGGTCATTGTCAGACAATGACAAACAAGACATAACTGAAATCCCACTGTGACCGCCTACGCTGACTGTGGACCTGCTCACTTGGTCAAACACATTCAGAATGGAGGGAATCAAATTTTCTTTCATCAAAATACTTACTGCCACAAGGCCCGCTGTGGTATCCTACGTCATCAAAGGCAATGTCACTCTGGTAGTTACTTCCCCTTACACCTTTTATATAGATCTGAAAATGAAAAGTAACAAAAAAAACTCATAGTTACATCCACAGAAACACAGGACCAAGTAAATTTTTCTCAAATATCACCCATAATACAAAATCCTTTCATGTCATGTCTACAACTTTTATCTCCGTACATGGAAAAATGGTGAATTATGTATTTCAACCTTTTCACTTTAAGGAAACCTATAAAAAAAAAACTTTCTTACAAAGCAAAAATGCAAAAGTGCAATTCATACGTCCTATAATGACAACAAGAGAAAGACGTTTACTCTGGTTTGCATGTGACTATCTGTTCACTCTCAGTTTTATGTTCAATGTTGGGGATAGGATGATATTTTTTTTTATGTTTGTTGTGACATGGTCTAGCATTTAAAGGTATCCGACTTCCAATCGTCAGAATACTGGTTCAATTCCCAGGTACAACCCAATAGGAAAAATTACTTTATCTAATTCAAGTGAAATTTCCAGAAAAAACATTATTAACACCCACTCTTGAAACTGTTGCAATTGTCATATCTGGATAAAGAAGTAAACAAAGTTTACCTACTCATTTACTCATTCTGGAGTGATGAGACGAAAGAGATCGATCATCTGAGACGAAAAAATAAGATGGATCGTCTAAACAGCAAAGACAACTCACATAGAAACTGGTGAACGGAGAGACAACTTGCACTTGTCCGTTCTGCCAACGGTTCTGCTGTGAGCCAGACAGGGTCCATATGGTAGTGTTCTGGGTGGCCGAGGCTGCAAGCATGATGTTCAGACTGCCCATGGTACTGCCGTACATGTGGTACCAGAACGTGAAGCAGCTGGCGTTGGTGGGAGCAAGTCTGGGGGAGAAACAAAGCAAATAGAAAACAAAACTATTCCATATATCAAAAATTAATTACACTAATTTTTAGTACTACATCTTTTCTACGTTATGTGAAAGTGTCATGAAGATTGGATAAAAAATGGTGGAGTCATTGTGAAAAGTATATACAAATACTACATTTCCAGATATCTTGACCTTCACCAAAAGTGGGCATTGCCCTACCTATAGGAGAAGTTTGGTCTCAGGGGTGTGTATAATTGTTTGGTTATAGAGAAAACTCTCCTTGTCTTTTAAAGAAACTGAACAAGGGGCAAAAATGTTACCTTCGATTTTCTGAAAACAGCATTTTTGGGGATAGCCCCCTTGTGCTTAAACGCGACCATTTAATGCCCAGCTTCAAAAATACATATAGGTAGGAGAAGCAAAAATTCTAGCCACTAAAAGGTAGCAAAAGTGGGTGCTGGATTTAGAAAGGTCGACAAGCACTGGAGTAGAGCATCTCTCACCTCTCACTGGACAGGACAGCAATGTCTCCTGGATGGCGGGGAGAGGAGGCCTCCAAGAACAAGTAGTGTCCGTTGCTGTTCTGTAGGGTGTGGTCACTGCTGGGGCCAGTTCCGGTGGAGTCTGTGCGTGGAGGGGGTGGGTAGTGGGTGGAATGGGTTGAGTTGGTGGTGGGGTGGGGAGGGGTGAGAGGGAGAGGTAGGGAGTGGTTGGAGGGGGGTGGGGGGATAGGGTGGGGGAACGCATCATATCAACATGATCATAAATGTGTCTTATCCACAGATTGTAGATGTGTCATATTAACATGGTCATTAACACGTTATATTATCCTACCGTCTCAACACATTAGTCCTGTCACTACCATACCCATGATGCACTAACTCCTATCACTGAAATAACATTCTAGCTACCCCCCCCTCCCACCACCCCAACCCATCTTTCACCCACAAATATACCTGCCATGTGTTCCATAAGTAAAGTACAAATAAACTTGGTCTGTGCTTAAAATACAGTATCAAAATATTTACGCTTTGAGCACCCTTCCTACCTGACCGTTGAGCAAAACAGAGTAAAAGAATTTACCTGTGGCCCCGCTGTCTCTGGTCCAGTCAAACACATCTGTCTGTAAGTTGGTGAATGAGCACAAGCCCTTTTCAAAGTTGCAAGTAGCTGTTGAGACAAGAGCAAACAAAATTAATCCAAAACAGGGCAAAATTTAAAAAATACTATTTTTGATAAGATAGACGAGATAAGACAAAGCAGACAATATGGATCCAAGACAGGATAATATAAGATAAGACAAGATAGATAAGATGCAATAGAATATTTAATCTGGGTAGGGGGGGAGGGGGAGGTGGGGGAGGAGGGGAAGGGAGTAAAAAAAAAGTTGTATCAGTTTCCGAAAGTAATAGTAGATCTTAATTTGCAGCCCTCTGGCCTTTACTAAAAGTGATGAAACAATTTTTTGTTTACCCATTCACTTCTCTTTGAAACACTCAGCAACATCACATTCTTGAACTGACATTCGTTAAAAGCCTCTCGAATGTCACCAAGGTTATCATACTAGACATTCTTTCAAAAAAAATATTTTTAAGCATTTATGGGAAATGTTTTGTATTGAGGAATACTGCTGGTCAGAACAACAACAGACACATTCTTGTTCGTCTTGGTTAGAGTGTTACGATGCTCGCTCATTCTGACTATAAATAAGAAAAACAGTGACACTGATACAATGTAAAAAGAGCAGATCACAGCAGAGGCGCCCTCCCAATTCAGCGACATAATAGAAACAAATGTTCCTTTTCAACACTAACAAAAAAGGAGAATACAAATATCTTTAAGGAGTCATCAGAAAAACCACAGAATATAAAATCATAAAAGTGTTCATCCTTGAGCAAATTTACGTTGTGAAAAAAGCATTACTTACTTCATCTTTGTGTAATTAATAATACTTCGATGATCAACGCCTGAGGGCGACCAATTCATGTGATTAATAATGCATAAAAATGTTACTCATTTCTTCATCGTAAAAAAATGACATCCCATGATGTGGTGAGTACCTTGGGAGGCACAGGCTCCTAGCCTGACCGAGACATCATCTATGGCTAAGTCAGACTTGAAGTTTGAGCCTCGGACACCTTCAAAGATGATCTGAGGGGAGAAGAGCAGGAGGAACCATTATTTCTGCTGACCACTGGCCTGAAAGGGTTTTTTTTTTATTTGGTTGAACAGTCTTTTGGGCTAATGATGACAGTGAGATTTGTTACAGCTGGTACTGTTGCTTTATGTTGTTGCTTTTATTGTTGATGTTGTTGCATTCTTGATCCACTTATGGCCCTCACTCCAGCACCACGTAGCCTAACAGTAAGATCTGTACAAACAAAGCGTACTTTAAGAGATTTGTAAGCAACCTATTTAGTAAGAAGGCCAGTATGCCTCAAAGACATCCCACCCCCTCTTACACACACACACAAACACACTTTCACACACACACACACACACACACACACACACACACACACACACACACACACACACACACACACACACACACACACACACACACACACACACACACACACACACACACACACACACACACACACACACTCACACCTTAACCTACACTTTCAATCACAGACCTTGAAGTTTTTCGCCACTGTCTGTGCAGGGAGAGTGAGCTCTCCAAGGCTCCAGCGGTCTCCGAGATCCCCCGACATCGTCCACAGTTTCGGGGTGTATAAGTTCGAGTCCACAATCAGCAGCTGGAATAAGTCACACAGAACACTCAGCAAAACATCGACTCAATTCAGACTTTTTCTTCTATGTGCTCACAGTTAAAGATCTTGAAAAGATGGTCGAAGCGAAAAGACTAGGATAATATCATTTATTTTTTTAGAGCATTCCAGGAGAGAAATGAGTTGCAAACTAAGATTTTTTTTAGATCTGTTTCTGGCCTGGCACTTGAAGAAGAAGGAAATTTCAAACTTCTTTTTGTTTTTTTAAAGGTGAGGTTGGGAGGGGGTAGGGGGCAGGGAGAGAGAGCGATACATACTATACGAAAATTTAAGCTAAAAAATGCCTGCTCAAAGTTTTGCAGCTCAAGTTCTACTACAATTAAGTACCTTTTATGCAAAGCAAAGAGTTTTACAACAATATGGATGTAATCCTCTTCAAATGACCCTGCTTATAGAACATAATAATTCACATGACTTACAATCATCCAAAGTTGGGAGTTATTTTCAAAACCCAACACTTTTGTGTCTTCTCCATTTATTTAACCCTTTCCGTACGTCATGATTAACTAACGTATCCATACGAACTCTGTGCACCCATTTTCCAAAGAAGAAATTTACTGATTAATCCGATCCGCACGCTTTGTATTAAGTCTGTCAAAATGATTTTCCGAGAAATACTGAAAGTTTCAAAAAGATCTTGGCCCTAGAAGTATTCTAAAATGTGAAGAATACAACCTCTGAGGTACAAAATGACCCCAGTCGTACAGATAGGGTTAAATGAGAAAACACTTTAAAATGTATTTAAATGAGCAAAGACTTTTTCAGTGCGTTGAAAATTTCCCAGGGAATCAGTTTGATGGTTAAAGCAAAAGAACATCGATACATTACCTTGACATTCAGGTCTCCCATGGTTCCCCCGTACATATGATAGTAGAAATTCAGACACAAGTCTTGGGAGACTGGGGTGAACAAGGGACTCAGCAATCTTGCCACATCGCCGGTCTTCAAGCCACTCGCTGAGGCTTCCGTGTACACATAATGGCCTGTAAAAGTGGGAAATCAAACCAGCTTCACTCTCATATTTTATTAAATAGCTTCCTAATGCTCCTTTTGCCATGATCTTGTTTTTACAGTGTTTGCTGTTCTCTAACTTGTGTATCTCTACATGAATGTGCTCTTGGAAATATGCTTGTATAATTTATTTGCTGCAATAGCATAAATAAATGAATAAATGAATAAATGAATATATGAATGAATGAATGAATGAATAAATAAACAAATAAATAATTTTAAAAAATAATAATAAAATAAATAAATAAATACATAAAAAATAAATACGGCCCAAATTCCTACTAAACAGCAAGCACCATATTATGCTATATAATAGGCGTATAGATAGTAAAATTTGAGTAACTAATTTATTTTAGTAAGTTGGGGGTTGATGTAGAAAATTATACAAAGTAGGAAAAGATTACGATAAAATACTAAAAATTCTTATATTTTAAATTGTTACAAAATAAGAATTTCAATATTGGGTATAAAAGTAGACACTAAAATACATGAAATTGTCATATTTACAGTCATCAAGAATTCCCTAAGCTACCCGAGTTATGGCATGACATCCTTGCCTATTGAATCGGTTATCACGAAGCACCAGTTAACAACTTTTTACAAATTTTGTAAAATAATCACGAAATACACAAAAATGTCAGTGACGATAGTTTGCACAAAACTGCGCTGACACAGAGTAGGGCTTGAAGAGAAACTGACCCGTGGTAGAGCCGTAAGTGTGGTCTTTGCTGGGGCCCGTGCCAGTGGAGGCAGTCCGGCCTGAGGCGTAGGTCCAGTCAAACTGGTCAGTTGTGTCCTGAGTAAAGTCACACATGGTGCTCTGCTCAAAGTTACAACTAAACGGTTTGCCTCTGGACACAGTCACGGTCTGCGAGGCAAGTCCTGGGAAATAGTTAGGAGATAAATACATGTATAAGTGTTGTTGTTAATGCAGACGTTCCATGCTACCATTGATCAAATTTAACTCTTTCACTGCTAAGTGGGTGAAGCTGGGGCGACCATCCTCTACCCAGCACGTCACAGGTGGCGGATAGAGGGCGGCCTCCAGATAATATGGAGGTTAGTTGCAAATACAGAATAAACAGCCGCGGACCAACTAGCGATGACTACAGAGGGCGAGGTGGGGTAGTTTTGGTGGTTCTGCTACTTTCATTAAATGCCTCAACCTGTTCGTCGAAGTGGTCATCGGACGAATCGAGACGCCCATAAATATAACCTCTTACCCTCGGCTATGAGTCAAATAGTGAGGATGTCTGGCTACTCGGAGGATGAGAGATTTATTTCTCCAACAGCAAAGTGCAGATGAAAATGCTTAATCCAAAAGGGCCACCAGAAACCCGTGCTTTGTCTCCTCCAGTAGATACAGGGAACTTATGAGGATTTTCTCTGGAGGTTGAAGATGGGCCAACAACCCATCTAAAAACAATCTTAAAGTTACTGAAATGGAAAGCATAAAATGTTACCGAAAGCGGCCCATGACAGACGAGCATCGCATCGACTGCTCTCCGCCTTAGGTACCCGACGGTATCGGGAGAGACTAAGTAAGTAGGTATTACCAAGTGTTGATACATCAGAGCTTCACTTTACACCTTCCAACAAGGTGCTAACAACTTTTGGCAACAAAAGAGGTAAGGATCATTATGAGGTGGATTTATTTGACCAGTACAATTTAAAGACCATTTATTTAGGAAGTGAATTACTTTGACCAGTACAATTTCAAACAGTATAATTTAAAGATCATAAAGGAGGTGGGTTGGATTATTCTAGCTGTAAAATTTAATGGTTGCAAATTACCTCGATCGTACAATTTAAATGTCATACAGGAGGCACACTACTTTGACCGGCATAACTGAAAGATCATAAAGGAAGCAGATTGCTTTAACCATACAATTTAAAGAACATAAAGGAGGCAGCTGATTACTTTGACCAATATTCAATCCAGCTTCCTAGTGCTAACCTAGACTGTGTTGGAAGCTCCTAATCATTGAGTCCTACAAACCTTCACAAGTCCCATCCAGAAGAACGATGTCATCAAGTGCAAGAACCCCTTGTCTTCCGTAACTTGTCGTGAGCGCCTCAAAGACAACCTGACAATGTCAAGGGAGGGAAAGAAACAATGTATAACAACACAGCAAAGCAAGATACAGATCATATTTTTCCATAAGTACACAATGTTTATCAAATTCAAGATCTAGTAATAAAGTGTTATAAATCTTAATCAAATTTAAGTTCTAGTAAAGTGTCATAAGTGTGTGATAATGAATTTAATCTAGCTGCTTTACTCTGAACAAGATCAATTGTAGCCTACCTGATAAGTCCCCTGGGCTGCAATATTGAGAGACTCTGCCGTCCAAGGCACTGCGAGCCCCTTGGAAAAAATCTGAGCTGGCTGTCCCAGGGCGCTGGTCTGTTTCACGTACACGTTGATCTGTTTGGTGAAGATGGACGTGGAGGCCCAGTACCTGTGCCACAAAATCACAAGAATTAAAACTTTCCCTCCTCTCCTTTTTATTCTCCTTTTGCTCCTTCTCCTCTTCCTCCTCCTCCTCCTCCTCTTCCTCTTTCATCTAGCATCTGATTTTCTCAACAGAAGGTCATATTTTCTACAGTATCAAATTTTAAGTAACAGTCTTTGTTGTGCTTGAAGGATATTTTAAATTATTTCTCTTCTCTTCAAGTGACAAGTCTGAAACAGACCTCTGTTGTTGCAGTTTCCTTCTCTTCTCTCAGGCTTTCCCCATCACCCATCTCTTTTCTAAGTTAGTTATTCTTGATCTACCTCTGCCTCTTTTGCCTTCAGTTTTTTCCTTCAATTATCAACAGTGTCTGGAAATAGGTTAACTTTGATTGTAGGACAAGTTAAAAACTTTGAACATCACATACAGAGCCCAATCTTCAAGACCATGTTGAAACATTCATCATGCTTATTGTATCAAACACAGTCTTCACAAGTGTCCTTTAAAAGAATGTATAACTCATTTGTCAAATAGAACATTGCAAATGTTCATATGTTCCTTTGCCAAAGCAGCACAACCCTTTACTACAAAGTCAAAAAATGGCAATTGATCCCATTAGGTTTTGCGTTCCCAGTTAATGAGTCAGTGTCACTCACTGAATTGCAGCAGCCCCCATAAACACTAAGCTTTCCATCTTAGTTTCCATTTCATAGTTTTCTTTGCATTTACTGACAAACAATCTCAGAACCTGTCAATTAATTAAGTGTAGCAAAACCTACTTCAAGCATTTTGGTCCGGTGGCCGTGATCTTTGGGCTGAGCAGAAAGGCGTTAGTCTGCCCTCGTGCACTCGACGTATAGTAGATGTAATGTCCACCTAGAGGGAAACACAAGAGACATTCAGTGGCATGGCACAGGAGAAAAAAACATTCAGTTGTTGTAAAAAAGGGAACAGATATACGAGTTTGGGCCCTAGCCTTAGGGAAAACAATGACAAAATGTTACTCAACACTTTTATGGAATTTCACATTCTCTATGTGTCTGCATGCGTGCATGATCAAAGAAACAAAAACGAAGTGTGTGTGTGTGTGTGTGTGTGTGTGTGTGTGTGTGTGTGTGTGTGTGTGAGTGTGTGTGTGTGAATAAGTGTGTGTGTCTGTGTGTAAGTGTGTGAATAAGTGTGTGTGTGTGTGTGTGTGCATGTGTATTCGTGAATAAGTGTGTGTGTGTGTGTGTGTGTGTGTGTGTGTGTGTGTGTGTGTTTGTGCGTGAGAGAGAGAGAGAGAGAGAGAGAGAGAGAGAGAGAGAGAGAGAGAAAGAAAGAGAGTCTGTGTGTGTGCATGTGTGTCATTTCTCATGTGTACACATGAACAAAGAACAATTTTTAACAGTATGTGCAGTATTGTTCATTCATGAATTTGTACTTTCACACCTATAGCTACAAAAACTATCTACATTATTTTTATTACCAAATCAAAATTTATCTCTATTCCCATTATTATATGTCTTCACTAATTTAATAACTCCTTTTCTAACAAAGCAACTCACTGGAGGAATTACTGGTGTGGTCAGTTTTGGGTGCCCTGGCCAGTCCAACTTGAGCAGCCGTCTTTGACCACTGCCAGTCACCTTTATCCCCAGGGCCATTGGTCCAGCCGCACTTGCTGTTCTCAAAGTCACAGTTGAAAGACGTGGAGCCTAAGGAGATAAATGATGATGATATTGTCAGAGGGCATTGTGTCATGACGTGGTGTAATCAGGCCATCATCAATTTTTGGGCAAATGGAGACGAATGTAATGATATAATCTCAAAGCCTGTTCATCATTTGCCATGCTCTTGATGAAAAAGAAATACCCATCTATAAGATGAGATATTTTGTGGTTGAAGGATATGGGTGTTGCTTGGTGTTAATAGTAAAATCCGCGAGAAAATGACTGTCAAAGTTTGGTGATTTCCAAAGTTTGAGTGTCTTTGGAAACTGTAAAAATACATTTTTTGTGCGTGTGATGAATGTTTTTCAGTAAAGTCCTCACAGAAATATTATGTTTTTAACTAGACATAAAAGGTGTTGAGCTGCCCCTAAAAATGTTTTGCGAAAAATTGCCCAAAAGGTGGAAAAATGCCGGTCTCATTGATTTCTGTACTTTTACGTGAGCCTTATTTCACCATAATGCAACTCTTATATGTATTTGGCACAATTGTTGTACATTGAAGTAGCCAGCATGCATGAAAATGTTATTGTTTAAGCTGTCAAGTTTTGTATTCTATTTTATTGTGAAGTACCTACAACCACTACGTAGTTGGCTCTATAGAAGTGATCTTTATCATTATTATTATTAATCAACTTCCTCTGAAGAAAAGAAATAGCTACAATCTTTTGCCAGAAGCAAAAGCAATTCAGAAAAGCTTTTATCAAGAAAGAATTTGGTGTGAGTGAGTAAAGAGAATCCTATTGACACAATAACAGTCATTCAGTGCAGGGGAATAGTCAGACAGACAGACAGACAGAAACAAGAGACGGAAAGATTTTCAAGTTTACCCTGAATAGAACAAATAACAAACTTTGATCTTATTAAAAAAAAAGGTCAAGATGCAATATGAGGGAAAAAGAAGAAGCAGAACCAACCAGTGGTACCCTCCAACCTTAGGGGAATGCCTCTTCAAGTAAAAAGACAGACTAGAAAAAGGTGGGTTTCGTGGTGTAAACGGTTCAGTACAAAGTAAGACAGACATACAAAAATAAAGGAGGGAAAAAGAAGTAGGACCCACCATTGGCACACTCCAACCTAAATGAAATCCAGCTACTAGTATAAAGACATTCTAGAAAAAAAGTGGCTTTTAGCACAGGCCTACAACTTAACTACCACAAAAAACAGGAGATTTACCATAACAGTATCATACAACATCTGTTTCTAATTGTTACAAAAGAGAGAAGATCCATTAAACAACAACTAATTTCAACAAAGGAGAGAAGACTATTGGGCTCGCAAATAAATAGGCAATGGGTTCGAACATCATCAGGGGCCCGACTTTATGTTCTTGGGAAAGGCACTTTCAATAAATTGTCCACTCTTCACCCAGGTGGGAACAGGTAGCCAGCTATAGACAGCAAAAGATCTTGCTAGTGTTTAGGCGCTTAATTGACTGATTGTGTTGTATGCTTCCAGGGAAGCTGAGAATATTTCTAAGTATTCAAGAGTCTGCTGGGGTAACAATACAGATTGTAAAGCACATAGAGCCTGCTTTTGAGTAGGAATATGTGCTATACAAATGCTATTTATTATTTGTCATTGAGACTTGTCCAGTGTCAAAGAGGACTCAGAATATGTGTGCGATTAACAAAGCTCTTTTACTAACTTGACTGGAATGTTGTCCGTGGTGCGTTGGTCACTGCAGGTGCAGCGGTGGTAGTATGTCCTGGCACCACTGCATTTGCTGGGGCAATCTGGCAACTTTGGCGACTAAATGAGATGTCGTCAAGAGCGATGTCACCATAGTAGCCATTGCCAGTGACTCCAATGAACATCAGCTGGGAACGAAAGAGCTTTGTGAATATCTTTCTTTTTTTCTTTATCAAAAGAGAAACAAGAGGAAATGTTACTCAGCTTTTCAATTTTTGTAAAACATATCTCCCCCTCTGTCTGCTTTTCTTTATGTGTTGCTCAGTTCATCTATCAGTCAGCATTTCTCTCAATCTTCTCATTCTTGCTCTCTCTCTCTCTCTCTCCCTTCTCTCCTTCTCTCTCTCTCTCTCTCTCTCTCTCTCTCTCTCTCTCTCTCTCTCTCTCTCT